AAAAAAAAAAAAAATGGTTTTATTAATTCATGATATTTTAATTATATGTTACCATTTGGTCCAAACAAATCTATTCAAACTCTTCAGGAACAACAGAAGCAAATTTTGCTGCTTCCTTGCACACACCTATGATACTTATACTCATTACAGTATGGAATAATAAATTTAAATTTAAATTGCTTACAATTTATAATTATAATTTATTAACTAAAGTAGACGTCCGGTTTGTCATTTTCATCTAAATTTTGTTTTGCATATTCAATGTCGGAATGAATAGTTTTGACTAGTTCCTCTATAAAAAAAAAAGTAATTTGAATATCATTTGAGTTTTATGATTTCAATAATAACAGTTGAACTTACCTACAGAGTTGAAATTTAATTCTGGTCGAATAAAACCAACAACCTTAACTTTTAAATTTGATCCATAAAAATCTTCATCAAATTGTTTGAGTATATGGATTTCCTAAAATAAATAAATAAAAATATTTGACCTACTTTTAACAAKAAAAATTTTGTTTATATTTACAAGTTATTAACATTAGAATTGCAAGTTTTAAATGTTTTAGTCCTATACCCTAAATAATTGTTTATTTATACAATAATGGTTACTAAATATAGTTTTAAATAATATATTTTAATTTACCATAGACTTTTCAACATTTTGATAAAACGGATTCCAACCAATACTCATAACCATCATGTAAACTGGTGAATGGTCAACTTGTGCCCATCCAAAATATACTCCAGTGTTTATGTTTTCAGGTAAATCTTTTATTACATCACGACTAAAATTAGCTATGAAACAAAAAGTTACCTAATTAATACATATTTACCTAAATTACCTGTTATGTAATTATTATTATTTAATAGTAACAATATTTTAAAAATTAAAATTTCAAACTTAATATAGATATTCAAGGTATGAATAATATTATATTTAATAGATATTTTGAATTTCAAGATCAATTTTCATAATTTTATGTACAACCATGTTTTTGTTTCATATCAAATCATATTAAAATCATAATTTCATGAAAAAAAACTTCCTTTGTACAGATATAAAAATTAATGATACATTTTTTTTTATTATTATTATGATAAATAGTGAACACTCAATTTTTTAAAATATGCTTCAATTTATACTGACCAGTAGGAATACCCAAATCCTTTGATCCTCGACCAAATCCTTTAACAACTAGACCACTTGCATAAAATGGTAATCCATTTTCTTTTTTGTATTCAGTATGACTCATGGCTTGTGATTAAATTTAATTAATTAATTTTGTTTGAGATGTATTACCTGTTAAAAACTTTCTAATTAAATATCATAAAAAATTCTCTGATAAATATGCAATAAATATGATGAAAAAAATCTAAATCAAACTAATAAAAGTTTTAAATGAAGTATTATGTAAGTTAATTTAGTTGATTAAGAATACGTAACGAGATAGTACCTATATTGAGTATATAATAGACATCGTTGTAAATTATCTAAAATATCAATACCTATTACATAAGACATAACATATAAGTTTGTTCTTTGATATAAGTGATTTGATGTTCACGTTTCACGTACACATATTTATAATGCAGTTACTTAATTATAGTTTTATTGTAGAATAAAAAAAAAAATTGTAAGATAATCAAGATTAAATTAATTGGCAAGAGGCAAGTAGTGAAGTAGTATAATCTACAATCTACATGAAAGTATAATATTTATATTTTTTAATAATTTTTACACAAAACTATTTAATAGATAAGCAAGAGATTGATACACTGATAATAAACAAACAGTTGTTATCACGTTATAATTTTATTATTTTTATTTAGAAAAAAATTGTTATCTGGTTATAATGGAAAAAACTTAAGTTTTTGATTTATAAATGAAAATAAAATAATTAAAATACACATGACACATAAGTGTACATTTAAAAATTATATAAGACTTAAGTTTCGATTTTAATTTCAACGTATACCTTTCATAAATTAAAGTAATTTTGTTTGCTCATGTTATTATTTCTTAGTACCACTGGTACTATTTGTAATTGGTGTTTATTTTTAAGCAAATTATTATTTTAATTATGACCATAGCCATTTTAGGCGGTGGACTCGCTGGCCTAAGTGCTGCATATTACCTAAAACGAGAAAGAGGAATTGAAAAAAACCAATCAATACAAATTATTGAAGCCAGCAATCATACAGGTGGCTGGATCCAATCGTGGAAAGATGAAAATACTAATGTTATTAGTGAGCTTGGTCCTCGAACAATTAGAGGTCGCGGAAAATCGGCCAATAATACATACAGTTTAATAAAAGATTTAGGTATTGAGAATCTAGTGCGTAATGTAGGTATTGATGCTTCTGCTAGATACATATTTGCAAATGGAAATATACATCAATTACCTATGAGTGTCTGGAAAGCTCTGTTTACAGTAAATCAACCATTCACTAAACCATGGATATATTATGTCTTACGTGAGTGTTTTTCATCAAATAGTAGCAAAGTTAAATCATCAGATAATGATGAAAGTGCTTACAACTTTTTTTGTCGCACATACGGACAAGAATTTGCTGACTACTTGATTTCACCGTTATTGTGTGGAGTATGTGGTGGAAATGCCAAGCAAATGAGTGTTAAGTTTATGTTTGGTGCCTTATATGAAGCAGAACGTAAACATGGAACAGTTGGATTAGGGTTATTAAAAGAACAGTTAAGTTCCATTTGGAATCGTGAAAAAGTAAATGATACAAAGGCAACTAATATTGTTAAACCTCCACCATCAGTTTATTATTTAGATGGAGGCCTGCAACGTTTAATCCATGCTTTAGATATTGATAACGAGTCTCAAGGAATTCATACAAATCTAAACACTGAGTGCACAGAGTTACATTTTCACGAAAACGGAAATGGTGCCAGAATTGGGTTGTCTAATGGCAAACAGTTGGAATGTTCACATGTTATTAGTGCATTGCCTGCACATAAATTAGCTTCACTCTTCCCTGTTAAATCTCAGCATTCAACATTAATACAGCTATTAACATCTATACCTATGGTATCCATTGCAACAGTAAATTTAACATATGATAATCCTAAAGTGATGGGTTCTTACAAAGGTTTTGGAGTTCTTTCTTCGCCACTTGAAAAATTGTCTCTGTTGGGTATTATATTTAATAACTATATTTATGGGCATAGTGATCGTGTTGATCTTACAGTCATGATGGGTGGATATGGATTTAAAGAACATTTTATTAAAAACTCTAAATGTTTGTCTGAAGAAAAACTTGCTGACACAGCTGTTGGTCATGTCAAACGTGTGCTTGATATTCAATCAAAACCTAATACATATAGCACGCAAGTATTAAAAGATTGCATTCCACAATATACAGTTGGACATTATGAACGTGTAACAAAAATTCAAGAATATATTAATGTTAGGCGTTTACCATTGACATTGGTTGGTTCATCGTATGCTGGAATTAGTATCAATGATGTGATATTTGCGTCGATGACTGCAATGCGAAAATTATGTAGATAACAATAAATTGGAAATATATACTTAAATTATTCTAGGAACTTATTACTTGGAAATCAAATATTGGTATTTTTTGTGTTATTTAACAAACAATTATTTATTACATTTAAGACAGTTGTTATTCATTTTTTTACAGTATTAAATTTTAATTCTAATTTAGTTATTATGGTTATATAATTCATTAACTACATGATAATGTAATTTCAGGAAATATATAACTACGAATACTTTGTGATGTAAATGAATTAATCATTATTTCAATAAATTGTTATTCATTTATTTATTTATATTTTCTGAGTGTCTAACATTTGTGAAGTACTTATGTACATTTATAAAGAGTTAGCTTGTGATACAGTCATTATTGGTTCGTAACATCAGTCAAATTACAAATAATTGAAATAAAATTATTTTTGCAGTAATGCTTTAGTAATTTCATTATATTCCGCTTAAATTAAGTCAACAGTAGCAAATTTCTATGGAGTAATGTGTCTTTTACAAGTTATTAAAATAAGTTATAAATGTAGAATGTATGTCAAAACCTAGGTACTAGGATATTCAAGTATAAAAATTAAAAAGTGGGTAACCCTCTGCTGTACATAAGATTTCTAAACAGTGACTGTAATGGATAAAATTTGAATTAAATGATATAAATTTAATTTATTGTATATTTGTATAGGTTGAATCATTCTGAGTGAAGGCAGTCTGTCAGCTTATAATATAACTAAGTATCTACAGAAGTTAAATTCATTTTTACCAAAAAATTTACATTTGAAAATTTAATTGTTTGTATAAAATATAATAATATAATATGGGGAACGAGGTGACCGAGCGGTCTAACGCGTCGGCTGTGGCTCAGCCGGACCGGGTTTGATCCTCGACCATTGGGCGACATTTTTCTCCGGGCAAGTCACGGTGTCCGGAGAAACAGTGCCGCCATCCCCCCCACTCCGGGGCATGGCAGAAACCTACGGGTGCCCCAATAGAAATTCTGCCAAATAGGTGTCCGAACTATGCCTTCGTGTGCCTACTCTCGGACATAGTACCATACGAAAAAAAAAATAATAATAATATACTCTAAAAATGTCATTTAAATGTTAATTTCATAATTTGCAACAAATTAATTAAAATTGTTATTCTTTGTTTTAATATGTAATTTCGTCCAAATATGAATTTAAAATACCTTTTAAAAATAACATGATATATTATATTTATTTTTTGATAACAGTATCAATTATTTATGAAAAAACCATTTAAATTTTAAATTTTGAGCTATAAAAATTGAACATTTTATAATTTTTTATCTACTACATTTTATCAAAATTTGAACTTTGAATACATATAATAATAAAAAAGCTATGCCATTGGGTATTTAATTTTTTATCATTTATCAACTAGCTATTATAACAACTTATAAAGAATGATTGTCAAGCTTTATGACCCAATGAATTCGAATTTATTGACACATTTTAACGAAAAATAACTCAAATTTTTAAATTTTGAATATCCAACTTAAAAACAGCCAAAATACTTTGAAAATTTAGAAAAGTTTAACATATGTAATTATTATGTATCAATAATGATAAAATAAGTATTTGATGAAAATTGGTTTTGAATAACAATAAAATTAATAAAATTACAAATTTAATTGATAACATAATTCTTTAAGAAAAAGAAATTTTCCAATTTATTGCAAGATCAATCATAAGTAGGAATAATAATAGTATAAAAATATTAAAGATCCATTTGTTACAACATTTTTATTAGTATTATACTTAACTATTCAAATTTCAACAATATATTTTCAAATTTCAAATAGTTATAAAATTATAAAATTTTCAATTTTTATGTCTAATGAATGAAAATTTTAAATAAAAATATTGTCATAAATAGTTCATGCTGTAACCAAAAAATCTAAAAATATATTTAAACACAGTTATTTTTTACAAACATTTAAAGTTCAAATTTGGGCGAAATTATATATAAAACCAAGAATAATGATTTTAGTTATTTTGCAGTAATTCAAAAATATTATTTATGAGAACTTAAGACTTTTATAGCAAATTATTGTATTATATACACTATTATTTAACCTATGTACTGATGCAAATTTGTAATACTTATGCCTTATAGTAAAATAAATAACTATTATTAATATATCATACAATTTACTTAGGATTATAGTGGCGCATCCAGTGCTTAATTGTCAACCCATAGCATAGGTTGTATAATTATTTTGTCTTAATAGCATTCATTATTTAAAGAAAAAATTTAATTTAATAATGACAATTAGCATTAGTTATAAATACTATAGGTAGCATTTAAAATCAATGGTTATTGGTTTTAGGTAGGTAGGTACCTCAAGTTTTTCTAGAATTATTAGAATTATAATTTATAATAATGAGCATGTGAATATAATGTTAATACGTGTTTATTCGTTATGTACCTTGGTACTCGCATTGTTTTTACTACCTATGTGTTTTCAGACAAAAAGTGCACAGTTTTTAAAAATATACTTTTCTAGAATATAAATTCATTTAGTTATTTGTATAATTGTGGTTACCAGGTGGTATTGAGTATTTTCTATTATAAAACAATATGGGTAATTATCGTCGTATAACAAATGCATAAATTTTCATTGGATAGGTATGTCAATATATGTTCTATTATTCTAATATATATGTACAATGAATGTTTTATGAAAAAATAAGAACGTTCACATATTTTTTGGAACATTTATTTTTATGCAATTATCTTCATATATGAGGTACCTCCCTATAAAAGTATGTGTTGTTGATGAAACGAAAATATTGTGTAGAGAGTTTTTGTTTTAGTCAGTAAAAATATAATATATTACAAACGTTCACCTGACTTGTCAAAATGAAATTGAATACATCAATGTTTATATGTCTATTTTTTTCTGCTATAATTGCTATTAAGGTAAATATTAATGCGTTAAAATTGTTTGTGTGAAATTATAGTCTAAAGTATTACACGTATATAGTACAGCGGTTCTCAAACTTTTTTTTCGCGTATCACTTGAGTAGGTATATTAATATTATCAATCAGCCACGTACCACTAATTATTAAAAATAGAACCATACATACTTTACATTGAGTTAAATACATTTATTTTAGATAAAAAGGCAGTAAAATACAACAATAAAATTATTATTTATTTATTAGGTAATATAATTTTATTAGTGTTTTTAAATTTGCGCCTTCTACGTACTACCATGTAGTCTTTCATGTACCACTAGTGGTACGCATATCACCGTTTAAGAACCGCTGGTCTAGTAGGTTCATTGTACAACACATTATCTACGTATTTAATTGTCTTTAAGTTATTCGGTAATAGGCATTTTAATAAATAATAATATCTGTGATATTTATCATGATATAGATTAATTATGTTATTTATGAATAATTTATATAAATTTATTGAATACCTATCGTATATAACGATATTCATGTCCACAATTCGTAAATGCTGAAATCACTGATGAATCATGAATGTTATGGTTATCGTATTCAAAATCAATTGTGAATGTTGATTTGTTATATAGGTATAGGCGCAGCTAAAACTTGGGGTGCTATAATTATTGTAAATAATGCCTTACAGAGCCATGGGGGGGGGGGGTTGTCCCTCACACCCCTTATTACTAATATCACATACCTAATCTTACAAAAATTAATTAAAAACTTTTAATCTCGCTTTTAATTTTTTTACAGACATCTATCAACACATTTCATATTAGGACATTAGGTACCTAATGATAAAAACAAACATATTATACAAATAGAATACAATTTTTATTAACATATTAAGACTTTACTAATATAAAACTTTTGGGGGTTTATCAGTAATAAACCAGTCCATCACGGCATACATCCATAGACATAGTGCTTTTTTATGTGACCCACCGAATAAAAATAGCTCGTTACTCGTAAGGAATCCATATTATTATACATTTATCCGTAATGTTTACACTACACATCCATTTGTTGTCTCGGTCTTACAAGTGAATAACATAACAACTTTACACTCAGCAGATCACGTTTATCTCCGTTAGTCTAAAAATTAGATTGAATCGATCTATTATGAAACTTTATATTAAGAATATTATCTGTGTTTGTATGTAAGATTTTTTACGATAGTTCAATTTTGTTGCAAGTTAATAAAAAAGCATAAATTAAAAATAGTCATAATTCACTTAAAAATTATCGTAAAAAACCCTCATATACAAACACAGATAATGTTCTTAGTGTTCTTACCATTAAGTTTTATAATAGGTCAATTTACTTTAATTTTTATACTTAACGGAGTTAAATGTGATCTGCTATGCGTAAAATTGGTATGTTCCGCGCTTGTAAAGACGTAGAAAACAAATACGTATGTAGCATCCTCTTTGTTAATCGTATATAAATTATAGGAATATGTAATAATTTATAACGAATTAATATTATAACTTTACGTCATGACTAAAATATTTTTTTTTCAATAAATATTTCATAATATAAAAACAAAAGCGATGGTATTTTAATATAGTAATAATAGTTAAACCTAAAAATAAGTGGTGCTAAATTAGAACTTGAGGGTGGTAAAAACTATTTTTCAACCACCTAGTTGATCTAAGGATGTTATAATGTTATTAATAAAAATTGGGTACTTACCTACCTACCAAATATAATAATAGTAGGTACCTATTTTATTAATATCAAAATAAATTAAGCTGAAAAATAAATGTATGCAATTTTTAATTTTATTTATTACTATACAAAGTAGTCTATGTTTAAATAATAATTTAATAAAAAATGAATGTTAATAATAATTTAAAATACTATTGAAGATTCTAATTTTTTGGCTGTAGTATTTTTATTATATTGTCATAATATAAGTATGACTTGTATAAAAAAATAAACGATACATAATTATCTAATATTACTTAATCATTCGTCTTATTGAGCTTGTATATTCTTTTATTTTATAATTTACATTTTTTCTTTAAATTAATATAAGGTACACACATAATATATATGATACAAAATAAATCGAATTAAATTAATTACTATAAAAGTATTAATAAATGTAATAATACAATTCGTAATAGATTTATTAATCATCTTTTGTTTTTATAAATCTAAACGTTTTTTTTTTGTTTTTCGCTAAACTAAATTTATCATGAACATTAACATCTATAATATTTTCTTTTTCTTTTTTATTAACTACTTCGCTACCTTTTTTAATTTCTAATAACTCATACATATTTTTATACTTCTCATTTTCATTAACTTCTTAAAAACATCTTTTTCATAGTCCTTAATCATACTCATACTTACTAAACTCTTCCAACTTAATTACCTATATGATTTAGATGCCTATGCCTTCTCCATACTGATTTTTTATCTTCAAATCTAACTATATAATTATTGTTGCCTATAATACTTCTTCTATCACTGCCTTCTCCCACTTTTTTATAAGGATCTGAAAAATCTCTCGTGTATACTATATCTCCCTCATTGAAAACTTCATTTCTAAATTTTTTATTTTTACAATTTTCAGTGTTGCTCTTTATCTTTGGATGTTTAAGAAAATTTAACCGGGTTTTTAATTTTCGTCCAAAAATCAATTTTACAGAACATTCATTCGTTGTCCATTGTGATGAGTTCCTATATTAGAATGAATATCTGTTTATAAAAGTGCTCACCGTTACATTTTTATCTTCTAATTCCTTCTGTCCCTCTTTTAAAAGATTTTACTGCATTTTTATAGCTGCACCATTTGTAGCAGGATAAAAAAAGTGTTGATAGTGTAAAATACAATTCTATTTTATTTACAAAATTGTTTGAATTCACTATCACGAAACTGTGGACCATTATTAGTAATAATTTTACTTGGTAACCCAAAAGTCCGAAAATTTCCCTCAACTTATCAATTAAATAAACACTATTCATTTTACTCATTTCTACCACTTTAGGCCATTTTGTAAATGCCCCAATCCGTAATAAATAATTTTTATTAATTAAATACAAAAAATTCTACTCTGTCTCAAGGACCAAAAGCTTCTGCCCACTTAGCTTACCTATCTACTACTGAACTAAATTGAAATAATACACAGACTTCACAACTTTTTACATCACTTTCAACCTTTTATCAAGTCCAAGCCACCAAAAAATGATTCGGTAATCTCTTTTATTTTTGTGATTCCTACATGTGTGATATGTGTTTCAGTTTCTTTCAATAAAAATAAATTTGTCTGGCATAATTACCCTATAGCCCCACATAATTACACCTTTTTCTATACTTAGATCAATTTTTCTAACAAAATAACCTTTATATTCTAACTCTACTTTTTATGGCCACCCGTCTTCAATTCAACTACAAACTTTACTTAATATTGTATCCATTTTAATTTTTAATAAATTTAAAGGTATGATTTCTTCTACAAAATCTATATAACTGTACTCATTAATCATTATCAATTTCATCACTTTTTATTTTTAATAATAAACGGGACAATCCATCGACTCACCATTATTTTTGCCTTGTAAATATTTTAATTCAATTGAATTCTGACAAAAATAAAGTCCAACATTGTAATTTATTCATTGCTGTACGTGGAATACCATAATGTTCCCCAAATAATACTACAATGATTTATGGTTTTAATTTATAAATAATTAAATTTGATTTACGTATTAACGAGGTGTTTCATAGTGAAGTTTATAAACCACTACTTGATTCAATACAATAGGCAACTAGTGTGAAAATTCTTGGGAGGCAACTTGTATATACAATTATAAACTACTTGATCATTAGAGGCAACTAGTATATATATTAACCTTTTAATTTACGATAAGGCTGGGAAGCAATTTTTATATTTTGGGAGTCAACTAGTATGCACCAAATTAATTTTCTAACTAATAAATATTGTGAAAATTTTTACATTCCAAAAAATAGCTAGTCTCTCTTTGTATCTAGTCATAGTTTCTATTATCTACCGTTAATACCCGAAACATAACTTTATACGAGTTTATGTTCCGTCGGAAAAACATGAACTAAAACCGCACCTACCCCATATTTAGAAGAATTACACAATAGTTTTACTTGTATTTCTAGGTTAAAATGTACTAGCACTGAATTTGATGTCATCACTTCCATGGACTTATTAAGAGCTTCATTACATCGATTTGTTCATTTGAATGTTATATTAATTTTTAATAATTTATAAAAAAGGACCCAATGGCCAATAGTGTAGACAAATTTGAAAAAAATTTTGAATAGTTGTTCTTCTAAATACTTACTTATAGTTGTCTTATAATCTGCACACAACCTTACTGTTTCATTATGGTTTTATCATAGGGACTAGAAGTGTACCCCGCAGTGCAATTTCCACTTTCTCAATTACATTTTCCTTTTCCAAGTGTCGATTACAAGTTCACCTTCAACTTTTTTAATATACGCAAATGGAATATACTTTGAATATACTTTAGTATACTAAATAAACTCATTAAATATCTTCTTAATAGAGATCTACATACATTTTCTACTATTATAGTAAATTACATTGTTCCTTCTTATTCTTATACTCTATACCAATTTTAACTTCTCCAACTGKATTTATTTATTTCTCCATTGTAAGTTTTTAATTTAATTTAACTGAGTATTACTTCTAATTTAGTACAATATTTTTATATAATTTAAAAGGTATTATAGATCTACCAGCTCCTGAATCTAACTCCATGTCAATTCGTATTCTCTCAATTTTAATTTTTTACAAAAATTGGTTCCACATCCTTTTGATAACCTACTTTTAATTGAAAAATTTATACTGATTCTGATTCAATTTCTAATTCTACATATTTATATTTGGATTTACTTTTTCACATCTTAGTTAAATATCCTACTTTATTACAAATATTACACTTATAAGTTTTATACTTACGATTACTAAAAATATGATTTGTTAAGCCACACGTATATAACATTTCCTTTGACCTGGCCCTTTATTGTTGTCTAAAAGTCTTGGTTTTTTCTTATTCGTCCTTTACTCATTTTTTGATGCTTTCTCTCTGACATCCTTTGATATGTTCCATTTTTTTAATTTGTGTACTTCCACTGGAACATTTGGTTGCAAGGTTACTTTTTTCTGCATTGCTAATTCTATCATTTATTTTTAATTTTTTTAATTCATCTTCTTCACATAATCGGTCTTTAATTTATCCATTTTCATACCTGTTATAAACTAATCTCTAAGAATGTCAATAAACATTTTTCCAAACTTCTACTATGTTGCTGAATTTTTAATTCTTGCATACCAATATTTTACGTTTTTACTTGAATTTTATCAAATAATTAAAAAATTCTTCCCGTCGTCTAAAAACTAACATTTTAGGAGAGAACTGCCTATTTCATACAGTACATATACGGTCTAAAAGATACTATAAAGGTGTGGCACAAATCTATAAGTGATAATTCCCTCACACAGTCACACATGTAATTAATAACGGTATCTTGCGTTTCTCTGGTATCATGTTCACTAAGAAAATTGTTCCATTCTGCCTTGATACATTGACCTGTCCCCATCAATTTGGAACCTTGCCAATGAACCGAACATACCCACCCGTTATCTTTGGTCGTGTTCTCCTTAAACTACTTTTTTGCTACACATGACACGCTTCCTTAGAATTAACGATTGTCTGACTTCAGTTTCGTAATCCTCACAACCTTATTTAAATCGAAAATTTGCGATTGAATACTATATACCATATTATTATCTTCGTCGCCAATTGTAATGTCGTGAGAGGTATATTGACCAAATCTAAATTATTTATCTTATTAAGCACGTGTCCCTTTATTAATCATCTTTTAAATAAAATAATGTACATAAATATATACAGATCAAAATAAATCACCCCGTTTATGAATTGTAGGCACAGTCTAACAAACTGAGTGACGATAATGAAAACGATTTGATGGTAGATGAAGATCAACAGACACAGAACTCCCAAGAAGAGACCGAATTTCAGTACAAACAAAGCAAATGGTTGGAAGAGATGGAGAATAACATGACGGATAGCTCAGAGGTATTCGTCGAGGACGGCGAGGAGAAGGAGGCCCTGACTAACACGTTCACGAGCGCCATGGCCACGGATGTGGCCAAAGCTGGATTTACTGATGCAAATCACCAATGGCAGTTGATGTTAGAGGGCCCGGAAGCGTCTCGGGTGATTGGCACGTTTGGCCAGAACTTCAACTCTATTGTTTCATCCAACAACGCTGCGAACATGATCAATATGCTGGCTAGCACCACGCACGTGCTGGCAGCCACAGCCGGCGAAGCGAAGATGAGCTCTGGGCTCAGGGACATCTTATCAATGATGTCCTCCCTATTCACGTCACCCAATATGCCCATAATTGTCAACAAGGTCGGCCTGCTGGTAATTTCTACCGTGAACAAACCCAACGGTCCGTTGTTCAGCAAGACGTACTGGGACGAGATTCAGAATCTCTTGTCTGTGAAGAACCTCAATGAAAAACTACAGAAGACTTTTGAAAACTTATCTACCATGACTTCTTCAAGCAAAAAGACGAAACCGTTGAAACGTAGACGTAGTTTTGCGTAAATATAAAATTATATAAATTATTCACATATACAATTATAATAGGTACATAAATTCATTTACAAACGGTTTACTTATCTACATAATATATAATTTATATAATAGTGTGGCATCATAGTTTTATACATAACACCGCCACGATCCGTATACCTACATGGAATGTAACACCGTTTGTACTTTGTTATAATAATATACTATTACTATTACAATTATTACTTCTATTATTATCATGATATAAAAAAATATATATAATATAAGTTACTATATTATAAATATGTCTTTAATAACTTGTATGACTGTGGAATCAAGAGTATACAAGCATTGAGCCATATGCAGCTAATATAAATAGGTGTACCTCATTAAACGCGCATTTGTAAAGGCATTATATCAATCTTAGGAGTAAATACGGTTAAAAATCTAGGGTGTTAGAAATGTAAAAAATAAGCAAGTATATTAGCATAGCTCGTTATACTTACGAAGTTAATTTAAATAATCAAGTATTAAGCTTAAGAAGTATTTGAGGGGCTAAGCCCACCTGTAAGCCTCCCTATTTACGCCTATGATCATAACCGTACCATATTATATATTATATCTTTAATCTACACTTATTTTTTCTTATATTTTATTAACTAATCATATTTTACAAAATATAAACTATTTCATTACAAATCGTGCATTTATATAATAATAACTTATCAGAAAAGAGGTTATAACAGAATTAAAATTAAAATTTCTTGCTGTAGGTTATTAATTTTAGTCATTTCAGTGTATGAATGTAAGACCATATTCAGATGTTGTGTTTATTTATTTATCGTATAGTACCTATGTATACACAATAGTGGTACACAGAATATAATAAATATAATAAAATACAATAAGTACAATAATATTATATACAAGCTGATTCCATGCACTTTGTTTTCCTTTAAAAATAAAACTTCTATTTTATTCAAAATGTATGTCCAATTCAACGATGTTATACTCTGCGTAGTTATATTCAAAACGCCCCGAGACAAATTACTGTAGATTTACTCCATCTCTACTCTAGGTATCTAATTTTATATGACTATGCTTTTAAAGGCGTGTCGATACGCACCTTTAAACAATCATTTAAAATATAGATTTGAAATCGTATTCAATCATAATAAAAATTGTATGTTAAATTTTCGTTTGAACAAACAAATATTTTTTTCTGTATTATAATAGATTAGTACAGATAAAACAGACAATTTAAGCATATATAATATAATAATCAGAAATAAAAGTATATTTCTCAGTACATTATGTTGGTTAATTGGTGTAGCCGACTAGCCGAGATTGTAGTTACCTACATATAATATAAAATACTGACATCTAGCTAAATCGAATAGCCAACAATTAGTTGCCATCTTGTATAGGTACTACATACTGATAGTGCTCGAAAAGGAACAAAAATTAAGAACGGCCTCTATTTTTTAACTCATAAAAACATAAAAGTTGATAAATATTACACTCAGCTGCACGGAACTTAGTCCCTCGTGACTCCTTGATGCATAAGGAATGAAATAATCAAAGTGATTCAAATCTAGGTACAGAATTTCGAAGAAAAATGAACCTATGTGGGTTCAAACACACTAACTCAAGTTTTACTTTAATAATAATTTTGAAAACAGATTTTATTTAGTTGCTGTAAATTTGGATCCTTTGAAGTCCACGATTTATATTATTTATTATTCTTAAAAAAAAACTCACTTAAAATTTAAAAAACATATTATATTTTTAAAAATTACAATTGAATAATTTTTATAATCCTAATGTCTATTATTAAAAATAGATTTAAATTAAATCAAAAATTATTTCAAAATTATTGCCAGTAGTATCAATAAAACTAATAAAAGGATATTTTACTTCACACACAAAAGCTTCATCGATTGAGGCTAGTATGTTAAAAGAGATTCAAACCATGTAGAAAGAGGCCACCAAATTCAGAAACATGAAGTATATGGAGAAGAACTTTGTGATTGACGGGATCAAATAACTTGGTAAATTAGGTAAATTATATACATTGCATAAACTAGGACATCGACATTAAATGCACTAAATATACAATTAATAATTACATGCAGAGGGCATGGACCAATTGCGCTTAAAACAATATTTATATTTTACGGCCAATATATCAATTGCGCTTGTATTTAGTAAATGTACATCATTCAATTTTGATTTTAATCCAAAAACAGCCGTTGCGGATTTTTAACAAGCTATACATTTTACTGCTAAATAAGTTTGGCCTTCAATACTTCAAGTTGGATGTAGATTTCATTTAGCTCAAGCATGGCGGAGGAATATTCAAAGTTGTAAACAACAAACAGAGTATATAAAACCCCTAATTCTGAGGTAGGAAAATGGCTGCATTTAATTTTTGGTTTGTCAATTTTCCACACGAAGGAGTGGGAATATATCAATTTATTAAAATAGATATTTACTTAAAATGCTTGTAAAATAAAATCGTACCTATGCATTTTTAAAATGTTCAAACTGCAATTAGAGTAACTTATGAAAAACATTGTGTTACATTTTAAAGTGTTTTTATCAAACCAATTTATTTTTATCGATCTTTATAGAGAAAAAACAAATTTCTTATGCCTACAATTAGCTCAAAAAGAGTCAAAATATTTTTTAAATTTTACTGGATATGAAAAAATTATAATCTCAAGCTCAACACATGGTGAAAATTTAAAGTGTCTACGGTTATTCGTTTTTTAATTACAACGAAATAAAAAAATAAGTCCTTGAAAAATCGTTCAAAATATCCAACGTATATAATTTTTAACGCTCAATTAGTTTGACATTCCGTTAAACTTTTTTTGATTATGAAAAATATAATAACTTATGAGAAATCTTGTGATAAATTTGCAAATCTAATGTTTAAACAGAAAAATGTTTATGAATTTCTAAACTAAACAAATTCGAATTTTCGTGATATTTACATATTTTTTCGAAATTTAAACTTAAGATACTTATATCAAATATTAAAGAATTAAGTTCAACTTTTTTTTTAAATTTCATCAACAAGTTACAAACGCGTTACATAGCAATTCTAATGACTAGGTAGTATATTCTAGTAAGAACATTATATCTGTGTTTTGTTGGAATTCAAGTATTTTTCCGATACTACTTGTTTTTAAATGAGTTATATTATATGCATTTTTATTTTACCTACAATTTATTATACGCAGTGCCAAACCACCGGGGCAGGGGGTGCAATGCAGTGGCGCCGAACCCTATGTTAAGGTCGGGCCATGGCCCGACATATTTTGAAAATTTAAGATAGGGGCCGCTTCATATTGACCATTTTCCTCTCTACGGTATGCCATTTTTTCCGATATTAAGATGTTGGGCCTCTTGAAATATTTTTCGCCCTACTAGATTTTTAGGACTTCGGCGCAGGGGCGGATAGGCACACCGGGATACCGGGACTTTCCCGGTGCGCCCCCGTATTACCGCCTACCGGCACCCCCTTCCAATATGCAGTGGTGTAAATTTTTCCAAGATGGAATCCATAGGGCTTTTTACATTTAGGACCTTCAATTAATTTTTACTTAGCGTCTAAGCAAATTTGTATTCTGTATGAAATACCTAGGTATAACATGTATAATCAAAATAAATTTTTAAGCTTTCAAAAACTTAGTTATTGAATTATTTTATATTATTCATCTTTCATCTGTATCTAATATCTGTGTAATTGTTTTTAGGTTTCATCGGAAAAAAAGTTTTGGTATCCCTGATTGTATACCATATAATATATGGCATATATGTATAGTAGAATAATTAAGGCCACCCCATAAATATTTTCCCGGTAAATTTTTTTTTGCCAATCCGCCTCTGCTTCGGCGCCAATGGTGCAATGTATCGGGGCACTTGATCTTGAAAGGGCTCTTACTGATTATCTGATAATGTGACCTAAAATATACAACAAAGAAAAAAGAAAATTATGTTATAAAATTATGGGGCACCTACACCAATTTGCACCGGGGCACACAAGTATCTTGCTATGGCACTGATTATACGCGCATAATTCACTTAAAAACTGATTTATTATAAAAATACTTCCAATAAAACACAAATATAATGTTCTTACTATCAAGTTTTATAATATCTATTCACTCTAATTTTTTAGGTAACGGAGTAAAACGTGAACTGCTAAACGTAAATTTGTTACCTATGTTACGTGTTTATATAAGATGGTGACAACACATGTGGGTGTGGCGTTCTCTTAATGAATCTGATTTAATTAATTTAGAATTTATTTTATAGGTACCTTTTATTTTAAAATCATTTTATAATATAAAATTTCTTAGACTGAAACAGTCTCCGCTCAGAATTTTTTAGTTTACCGGAAGTCGGATGAATTTTTCATAAGCATTTGAACTTCAAATTTTTCGACATAGACTCATCCATAAACTAACGAATTCTCATCGAACCATTTTGATGTAATTTAAAAAAGAATAACTGTGGATAGTTTCTAAAATTTCTTACCAAATATTTATTCTATCATTTTTAATTTAAAAATGGTGGAGCCATGGGTCATGCAGGGTATGTAGCTTCACGCCCTAATCGCCCCGGCAAGCCACTTTAACTTAAGTCGGGCTAAAATGTAAAGGTAGTATTTTAAATAATTTACTAAACCTAGATATATCGCAAATAAATCTATATTGTTTATTGAAAATGTTTCAATATGATACCAAAAAAATTGAAATAGAAGTACTTAATGTTATAATTAAAAAACAATTCTACAATTCCTAATAAAAACATGTTAAGTAATAAAAGTAAAATCCATGAATGGTTAATTTGGCTAATGTCTAATGAGCATTAGAAATTCTTTAACCAATATTTTAATGTCATTCAAAAGTTTGTAGTGGTCATTGGTCACAGTAACAAGTTGTACTAAGAGAGGCCTTTCTCTAAATTGACCATATTCAAATCAAAATTGAGATCTACCTCAGAGATAGATAGATTAAATGCTTTGATGGTATTGATAGTAGAATATGAAATTGCAGTCAATGTTTATATTGATACTATAATAGACAATTTCAAAATAGCAATAAATTTTCAGAGACAAAAGACAAATATCCTTATAATATTTTTGAGTGAAATTTATCTAATATTATAATTTTTTTTTTTTTTTTCATCAATACCTAATGACATAATTAATGTAGTTATATCTTTACTACATACTTAAATCTTAATTATTATTAAATATAAAGAAACTATTAAAACATTTTAGAAATTGTATGGATTAGCCTCCCAAGCAGCATGTTACGCTGAACAACACTTCTGACTCCGCCTATGAAAGTATCCTAATCATATATGCAGAGTTTTATCATATTGTTAATAAACAGCTTTCATTAACAAATCCAATCAGCTCTACAATATGCAAGGTCATTCAGCACTGAGAAAGATTAAGAACTGTAAACCGAATTATATGAATACAATTTTCCACTTTAATCAATTATGTTAATTATACCTAATACATAGGTATAGGTCTCTAGATTGGTACAATAATTTGCTGTCGCAAGAAGGAAATCAGAAATATTGAAACAGGGTAATTTAAAATATCTACTGGAATAAAAAAAATAGAACTATTAAATTTTTTAAATAAAATAGTATTATTTCCGTCACCATCATGTAAACACCACCAATGTCGGAACATAGAACTTTAAATGATATGTAATTCATTATTAATATTTTTAATTTGTCAATTTGTGACTTGTGTATAACCTATACTTTAACTTCCAAACAACAGCACAAGCTAAAGAAAGATAGATTAATTCTAAATAAGCAGGTTACATTATAAATTTGACAATAATGAAATTTCACCTACCTAGGTATATTTTTAAATGTGCATACAATATTGTTCAACAAAAATATGTAGGTTTTTGTTTTTTTTATAAAAAATAAACCCATTAAATTAAATTTTATAACACAATAGAATAATATAATCAATTTAAGATTACATGCACACTGCGTAGTATAGATAGATAATGAATATAAGGTATCTATAGAAGTTATTACATTTGAAGATAGATAGATAATAGATATAAGTATATAAGTATATAGTTAACAAATAAAAGTTTCATAATAGTATAATTATATTATACTAACACATATCTAATAATGGATTTTAATAATATTTTACATGTGTATTTAGATAAAAAGATTATAATAATGTATACTTATTCAATAATACAATCAAAGATATCAGTGCAATACTATTGATGATAAAAATGAAAMAATAATGTGTAAAACAATATATATTTTGATAAATGTAAAATAGGTAAATAAAATAATATTAAATTACATTAATTATTGTAAAGAAGTTGAACACAACAACAATGCAAATAGTACTAAATATTATGTATTTTAACTTTAATGTAATAGACTTATTATTATTGAAAAAAATTGAGAAATTATAATTGATTAATACCAATCATCAATAGTAAGAAAATTGAATATCTGATAGTTACATATTTAGGACTAAACTGTGAAATTATTATAATGGGTTTAGTCTACATAGTTTATTAGAAAAACAATAGGATCTACTAAATGTATTTACAACTTCAATTTCCTAACAAAATTAATAAACAAATTTATCAAAATTTCTTTATTTGTAACTTTAAGTTGTTTGAGTAAAATTTAATTGACACACGTATAAGTAGGTATATTCCAGTTTTTTTTATTACTTGACTAGGTACTGTTTAAGACTTGAATAAACATTTTTAAATATATAATTATCTTAAATTGTTAATAATGATTAAAATACAGATAAGAATTTTTTTTAAAGATTCTAACAAATACAAAAGTTTTTAATGAAGATTTTAATGTGTAACAGTGTTACAAGATAATTTGTATGCAGGAAACAACTAATATAAGGAAAAAATATTTTAACCATATTTAACTTCAATCTTACAGTTTACACTGACATTTTTAAATTAGATGGTAAAAAGTACACATCACTCTAACTAGCTAGTATTAAAAAAAATAAAGAATAATAATACCATTACAAATAATTTAAAGCAATAAAACATGTTATGAAAGTATGTGTAATCTATTGTCTATTTAAATTAATAGATATCAAAATCATATAAATGAAGATATGTTTAAGAATATATTTTATAAAGGAATGTAGTTTTTTTTAATTCAAAATTAATCCTTAAAAGTTTAATGATCAGTTTTCAACAAATATAAGAACATTTTTTAATAATATATCTTCTAAATGAAATAATTAAAAAGAAAATGTGTTTAAATAAATAAATAAATTAATTAATGGAATTTAGTAAGTAGGTATAACATAATAAATAAAATAAATAAATTTAGTCTAGTTTATTATCATTTTTATTATAAAGAAAAGTTACACTAACAATTTTAAATCTAATTAAATATTAGATTTTTAATATCTAAAAAATATTTATTAAAATTATCATACAAAATAACAACTTTTTTAACCATATTATAACTGTGTTATAACAATCGCGCACACCAATAACCCAAAAATAAACAAATAATTAACTAAGAATAAATGTTAATAACAATGCACATTAAGCACAATGTGGTAATATTTTTTGAGCTATGACAAAAGTATAAAATAAATATTGCACTTTTCTAAGATAATAGTTTTAATGATAATACGCAAGTGCACTTTTATTATGCAGTCTAATGTAAATAATCAATATTATACTAAATGTATTATTTTAGTAATATCATACATAAAAATGTTATATAATATAAATATGCGAAAAAAATATTTCAATTGTTTTAAATAATATATTAGGAATAATTTGGTGTATAAATATGTAATAATATATTGTATAGAGAATAGGCAACAAATATTACTTCCCCCCCTCAAATTATAATTAATTTTATATTACGCTATGAAATAATGATTTGATATTTGCTTCAAGAATCAACAATAATAAGTATTAAATTTATAAATATCATAAATAAAAATAATAATTATGATTTGGTTAAATATTTTTATATCTTAAAAACTTATATATTTATATAAATGTTAATAAATTTAACGAGAATTGCCAAGTTATTTTGGATTTTTCTACATATTATTGCTGTATTTAGTCCTAGTGATAGGGTTAATATTAATGATGATTAAACTAAAATAATTTAACAGTAAATGAAAATTTAAATGTTGGACCACATAACACAGCTATTTATCTCTGTAACCAAATTTGCTGCCAGCCTTTTATTCTTAAACAATATTAACAATAATAACAAAAGGCTAAAAATTATTAAACTAACTAATTTTAAATTAATCAAAAGACATAAAAATGTATGTAAAATATTTATAACTATAATAATACATAACAATAATTCACGATAAATAAATTATATATATTTTTTTTTTTAAATACAATTTGAAGAATTATCAAATTAAAAAAAGAGTAAATTTCTGATAGCTGTAGCAATAAATTAAAACAAATAGCCGTAGTAGTATAATTGCTGTTATCCTAGCCATACTTTGCGTGTCAAATTACTTGAGCAATTCATGTGCTCGTTGGTTTGCCACTGAAATTCTTGTTTCATTAGATCCAGCCTAAACAAATAACAATTGTAAAAGTAAAGTAAAATTATAAAAATTATGTATAAGTTATCTATTATGAATTTATGAAAATAAATCAATAATAGTTAGGTGAATGTGGAAAAATTAAAAAATTTATACAATACAAAAATGTGATACGAGTATATCGCTAATAAAATGTAGTATTAAAATAGCTTTTCTTAAGTATTGGATAGCTTATTAATATTCAAACTTATTTCAAACTATATATTTTGATTTTAACTTAATTTAATTTAATTTTAATTTTTAATCAAAAAAAATGATGTATGAATATTCAAATACATCAAATGAAAACTTCAAAATATACCTTCATGTTTATTCGTGAAACTTGTCTATTCTGATTCTCCAATTCGCTTCCCATGTCCAGTGCCATGTTACGGAGATTCCCAATCATAGTATTTACTTGACCCATATTTTCTTCCATTTCATTTTCTCGTGCGTCATTTGTAATTCTATAAAAAAAAAAATAGAAAATATTATAGAAGATACATCTATGTGTAGCCACAACCACGGTAGATTATAGAGGTATACGCACGACCATCAAAATTGTGTCCCGAGAAATATGTTTTAAGAAGGTTCTCACCGCTAGATCGCGTAACAGTCTTTTGGCCCTANGGAAAATAAACCATTAAAATATAATCATGATATACATTTTGAAATGATAATTATTGGATACATCCAATGGTTAAATTTAAAAAAAAAATGTACAGTGGTGCAAAAATTATAAGAATTGTATGTAACTGCAGATACCTAATTATATACCTACCTACCTACCTTATTGACTAGAATATAATTAAAGGGGTACCTATGTTCAAATATTATTAAAAGAGAAGAACCTCCCCAGTTCAAGCACTGGTTACATATGCTTTACAGTTTTATAATATAATTTATCATATTAGGTTTCAATGATTAAAGCTCCTACAAAAAAACCAGATTTTGATAAATATAAAAAGCTATATCAAAAAGGGATATTGAACTAAGCACAAATTCATTTGTTTGTTCAAAGCACTTCAAAGAAGAAGAAATTATATGGTTTTGGAGTTCTAGAGAGGGAGACTTACAAATAAAAGTATTTAATAATAATAATAAATTAATAATATAATATATGTTGTTAATATTTGTTTTATTTAAAATAACAATCTGTGCAATAACTAAAAAAATCATGTTAAATTAAGTACCAATATATTTACATAAATATTATTAAATAATAAAAGATGTAACAAGAGACTGTAACAAAGCTAGTTATAGCTATTCCAGGTAATACAATTATCCATATATATTTTTTCATTTATTTATTGTAAATAGGTATCTATTATAAAATATTTTCTTTGATTACAAAGTTAAAATATATCTTTCTAAATATATTTTTTGACAGGTGCAATTAAAAAAGCCAAAATTATTGAATGGAGCAATTCCTTCAATATTTCCAGGATGCCCTATATCGTGCATACCAAAAATTATAAAAAATAGGAAAAGTCCTAAAAAAGAGATGATGTGTCCACAATCTTAAAAATTGCTCATGAAAAAAAAATTATTAGTGCTAAATCATACAGTATATTATCAGGTAGGTACAATAATTTATTTTTTGCTCATAACATGAAAATTTATTTAGATATTATATTATGTATAATTTTACAATTTTAAATTCATTCTGCATTTAATTGTCTATTAAAAATTTAAAAATATTTATTTGATAAAAAATTTTTAATATTAAACATGATAACTTTCAACATAGTAATCCAAAAATTCGCTTTATAGTTGTGCATGCTAGAACAATTTAGTGGGTAGACCTAACAAAAATGAATTACAAATGTATTTTAATTTTTTTTAAATTTTTATTGACTTATTATGTATGTAAATATTATTTATAAAGAACAGCTGATATTCTAGCACTGTCCATTATTATTTATTGATTTTATAATTTTACCTTAATTTGTTAATGTGTATTAATCTAGTATAACGACGAATTTATAATACATGTCTTCATTTACATTAATTTATGTACAATTTTGTTTTTGATGAGTTTTTGTTCGTTTATTGTATGAAATCTGTATTTCAAATATGAAAATTAGGGCCAAAAGACTGCAGCGTGATCTACCGGCAAACCTGCGAATAAAACACATCCACTGGGACAATTGTTTGCATTATGAATATATGGCCGTGCGTATACCTCTATAATCTACCGTGGCCACAACCATTAATCATAAAAAATAAATAATATCAGAATAAATTATATACATAACTTATTAAAAGAAAAAATTATAACTAATAAAGAAATGTTATATTGGGGGTTTTTTTTTTAATTTTAAGCAAAAAAATATATATTATATAGGTATATAACGAATGAAAATTTCCGAGGAATACCTGAACAGCTGACTGAGAGTAATTGTACTAGTAAGCAGTTTATAATTTTAATCGTTTTAATAACTTTAACTATTATTATAATAGTACCTACTTTGCTATATAACCTCCTTGGGCACCCATTCCATTACGTTCATCCATAACACGCTGTGGTTGATTGTTGACTACTTTACCATCATCATTACCTCGCCACGTACCTTCATCTTCTTTAAATGAAGCTGACCTTTTAAGTACACATTGGTGTTATTAAACAAATTAAAGTCACTACTCATAAAAATGTAAAATTAAGTTTTAAATATACTTGTTACAAGGCAGTACACAAATTCCACAACATTTTTCCATGCCAGTAAGGTTCTTTTCTGCTTCTTTCATGTCAGCATTAATCTGATCCATGCCTTCTTCAATCCTGTCCAATTGTTCTATGGTTTTTGAAATATTCACACACACATACACACACACACACACACACAGATAAAAAATATATTAGACACTAATAATAATATTTAATTTGAATAATAGTTGTACAAAAGTGTATATATTATTGTTTTTGTGTGTAGTGATTTTCCTAAAATTGTGATAGTTAGAATTTCAACAAAAACGCGCAATTGCTTATATAAATAAAATATTAAAAGAATATCATAAGTTTAAATTATCATTATAATTTATGAATAAATAATAATTGGTTAATAAAAATAGAATGTTCATATCAAAGAACATTACCAGCAGTATCATATTATAAGATAGTTGTATTATTTTAATTTTGCATTAAAAACGTTTCCTCAGATTCGCATTTGTATTTAGTGAATAATTTTGTTTGTGTTATACTAATATGTTGTTGTTTCGTTAATTTTTGACATCAATAGATGATAATTGTTGTTCAGTGACGTATAAGGATGTTTAATTTAGTAAAAGTAATTGAAATAATTAATAACCATCCAATTGTTTTTTTTAAATACATTTTTGTCTAACACAAACATACTAAAAATACTGTTTTTAAGTTGTAATATAATTTGCAAATCATTATTTAGGCTTATATTAATTATAAATTATTTTTAACATAATTTAAAATATGCACTTGTGATATGTCCCCATACGCCACTGAAAAGATTAAATTAAAGTTATAATACATTTAATTCTCAATTATGTAATGACATTTTGAAGAGAAATTTAAATTGCCTTAAATGTTTTATTAGACATTGTAGTTGACTATATTTATTAAAACGTTTCATGAATTAAAATTGTTTATTATTTTTATTCCATCAACTATATTTAATTAATGATAAAGTTATAAATATGGATAATATATAAATTACAAACATTTTTAGAATAATAAATTCCAACTCGATACCATTTATCGCATTTCAGATTTTAGCATTAATATTATTGTTTTTATACTTTGTTTGTAAACACGTTTTTTTTTTATTTCATAGCTCTTACCCCCTTGTTCATCCAACATCACTAGAGATTTCATCCCGACTTCATGGCTCTACACAAAAAAAAAAAAAACAACAACAACAATAATCACCGACAATAAAGCCTTTGTCGTAATGATCAAGATAGTGTGTCGATGTATATTTTATATTTATTGTCTTCTATCTAAATATATATGTATGTATCTATTTATATATAATATCTATAAATATTTAATGTATTTTAACGTCTACAGGGATTTTTATCTATCTATTAATTTTATAACATTTTGTCTAAGACGATTGAATTAAAATGATACACAATATGGATTGGGTAATTTAAGAATGACAGGACAAATAATAATCAACATTTAACAATTAAGGTTTATAAATAAATAAAATTAATTATGCCAAATTCATACAACAACAACAACACAAAACTTAATTACTACTATTATAATATGGTATGCAAAACGAGGAAAAACGTTAAATATTTTAATAAAATGTAAGTCTTAAAGAAAGAAATATACAGTGGTAAAATAATGAAAATAATTGTTTGTACTTCAAACTTCTACATACAGTTACATCCATACTTTAGATTTATTCTACTATTTATATATCCCCAAATAACATTTCTAATATTGAGTTAAATATGATATCATAATTTTCACTTCTAAGATGTATTATACCTATAGACTATAACACTATAGTTAGGGTAGTTTAGGCAAAATCAAATTAAAAGCAATTTAATAAAATAACCTTAGGCAACATAAGTCTTACCGCCTTGTATGTGCAAATTTTCTACGGTTTTTGTGCCAACATCTACACTCTACAAATAAAATACAAAAATAAAAATAAAAATAAACATCAATGCTATATTGTGGAATAAAATAAAMAGAATTAATAATGGTGTATAAAAGCAGAATTATTAAATAATATAAAAACGTTATTATAGCAACAAATAATTGACCATATTTAAAGTACTATTGACTAATACCATCTATAATCATTAATCACCAAATAATATAAATATTAGTGAAATAGGTAACTATTAAAATATATAAAATTATTATGTATATCGTTAAAATCAAGCTTGAAAGACATAATTATAAAAGGTATTTTTAACTAAGCAAATACACATTGTATTGAACTATACAATTAATCAGTGATTAGCACCCTTGCTTTTATAACAGAGTAAAAAAAAACCCTTGAATGCAACATTTTTCTTTCAATATTTTCATACATAAGTGTTATTACTTTATTAGTGTTTGTGTAATGATTTTTGTGATTGATGATAAAAATAAAAATATATATATTAATAGTTATAAATATATTGGTTTGGTAATTTTATTAATATCTGTGAATTTGTGATTTTAGTGCTCAATGAAACACGGTCGGTGGAAAGACAATAATTACCACCGCCGGTAATGCTCATGATTCTTTGCATAGTTAAGTTTATTTCTAATAACTTAAAAATAAAAATAAGTTGACACACAATGTGAGTAGCGCGCGTGCACTTTGAAGTGAACCATTATGATATATGTCTGTGTACACTGTATATTTGGGTGTATGTGTGTTTATATATGTATATATGTATGTGTGTCTATGAGATTGTGTCCTTTAAAAGTAGACAAGATCCCGTAGTAATGGCAACGGCAGCAGCAACAAGAACATCAACTCACCTCCCTGGTCATCGAGTGCAACTAATGTCCTTATTCCAGCCTCCTTGCTCTATGATTGTAGTATTTGAAAGTAGAAGAGTGGTAGTAGTGATGGTGGTGGTAGGTGGTGGTGATCGTGTGGTGTGCGTGTGACAGAAAAAAAACCAATAATAATAACATTATATGAGAGATAGTGTAACCTATTCATTTTTGTATACATCAATTTTGGTGTGTATAATTTTTAATAATGTTTTAAATTTTAAAAGTATATTCAAATATATTTTTATTTTCATGTGTATAATTAAAAGTTTTTATTAGTTTATTTCTGTAAAATAATGTGTGTAAATGGTTCTTACAGTATATTATTTGTATTCATACTTGTTAATTGATAATTTGCCAAAATGGAAAGTTATTATTCATACTTCTTATAAATAAACGTAAACAGTCTATAATGAAAATAACTTTGATAGGTAATGTATTTTACAAATACGGTTGTTTTGTGTACAATCGCGTTAGGAACAAAACATTACATTTTAAAATAGCTCAGTAGATACCAATTAAATTTTTTTTTTTCATATCATATTTTTTAAATTGTAAGCAAATATTTGTATAATTCTATTTATCTTTGTAGCAATATTTATCACTGTTTAAAGTATCTAAATAAATGATTTTATACTAAATAGGTGTCAGTCAAGTATCAATAACTCAGATTCCCGACAAAAAGTATAAGCTTAGCAATCACTATTATTAGTTCAGTCAAGTATTATAAAATTAACAACTGTGACTGATGAGCAATCACTTTATTAAAGTTGCTATTTTTCGTAATTTTTTGGTGCTTGTTACATAGAAGTTTCATCATACAATCAAGACATTTTTAATTATATTTCAATTAAAAACACTTGTCACAAATTATTTTTCAAAATTATAAATTAGTTTATTGATCAATTCATAGCGTGTTCACATAAATATTCCACAAAAATGTGTATACAATTTTTTCTTTTTTAGGCGGACTTCTGAGTTATTGAAACTCCATTGTATTATACTTGTTGAGAAATATATTAATAATTTATGTTTGTTTCAACAAACTATTGAAGTAATATTATTTTATATTTTCATATTAGTATGTATTTGTATGAGTTGGCATTTTGTGAGCTTGTATTTTACTGAATATTATTGTTTTCTAAATAAATAATTCACATGTGTTTGAAAATTGAAGAACGAATCTTATCAATTTTTAATTTGAGAATGTAACAAGCAAAAATGCACAAGACAAACACACACCGACATGCAGCAGCAGCAGTAAGCAGCACCAGTAGCTTTATTATTATACAAAAATATAGTATATGTTATATTTTACACTCACACCTATAAATATAATTTTATTCATGATTAAGTTAATATCGGATTTAATGAAAGAAAATACGAGAACAATATATATTATATTACCCTCGTAACTTAGCCAATAGTTAAAATGTTGTGTTTATTATTAAAATATCTCATTGCAGTACTATAAAATTCAAAAATAGTAAATATTTAGTCAACAATATTGTTGCCTTAGTAAATTAAGTATTATAAATTAATATAAATATTTATACTTTTGAATTTTTCAAGTAAGCACATGTAAGAATTATGAGTAGAATAATGATTAATTTGCAATATATATTTTAAGTAGGTATATGGTTAATACAAAGGTTCATTAAATAATTAATGTATTATATTTAATAGTCTTTAAATAATATCTTACCTCTTCACATAGAGCCAACATTCTTCTGGTACTTTCAAGTGACTGTAGTTATAAATGACAAAAAACAATATTTTACTTAAGTTATTAACTATACCTAAAACTTAATGATAATAGACTTGAATAATAATTAAACACATAACTTACTTCATCTGTTACTTCTCCAGCTTTCATTTGCAGCTCCTGAAGTTCAGTTTTTGGTACAGCTGGCTGTGGTGCTCCACCGTCTGGTGACATCGCTGCATTTGATTTTGTTGGTGCAGGCATGGTTGAATTTTTAATGAGGTAGTTCTTTTTTTATTTTTACTTGAGCTGTATAAAAATACAATACATTTGGTTATGATACTTTCAATTGTAAATATCTTATACATTAGACCAGAGGTATTCAAACTGTGTATTCCGGCTCCTAGGGACGATACGGAATTTAGAAATAGAAGCCATGCCAAAAACACCGGGAAACCAAAATTAATGTAGTTCATGTATAAATATTAGTTATAATCAATAAAGTGTTTAACAAATCACTTTATGAGACCATTTAAAGTTTTATTTCTAGTACCTACTGATATTTCTGTTATTATTGGCCGTATTGTATCTGTATTATTTCAATTTTTTCATAATAATTAGAGAACTGCCATAATATTGTGAACACACAATAGAACTATGAAATGAAAAAGTTTGAATACCTCTGCATCACACTGTTCTTCGTAAATCAAAAAAAAAAAAATAAGAATGTTGAAGGTATATTAAATATTCAAATAATTTCACCAATTGCTAATTAGTAATTTCCAATTGGATATCTTGTGATTTTGTTTAAATAATAAATTGTATTGATAAATGTATAAATGTCCTCATTTAAATACTTTAATTACAGTTATTAAATTATTATTTAATAAACAAACAGTGAAGAAATTCAGTAATTAACATTAATACATCAATAATGAAACGTCATCGAATGAATGGTAGTATGGTACAATCATTATTCCGAGTTCTGACTCAGCCACTTGGCCACTTGGCAATAAACGCGGACGCACTGTCTTACAAGTTACAACAGTAACTTACAACCGGAAGAATAAGGATATGAGATATGACGACTATTGTGCTACTATCGACCTATCGTAGTATCGCTGATACCAACATTGGAAATACTATGATAACGATATAAGATATAACGAATATATAAATATAATATATTATTATACATACGATTAACGAATATTGATTAATGAATAATGATTTTAAATTAGTAAGTTTGTATCGTAAAAACTTTAAAGCCTTAAAGGTTATTTCTAGTTCTCATGGTTCGTAGTAAAATTTAAATCTTTTATTGGGATGTAAAAAAGATCGAGGTTTTACACATTTTATACAAATCAATCATTTTCAAGATTTAAACTTTATAATTTATTATTAAATATGCCTAATTCTATATTATGTGTTCAATAGAAAGTTGGTATCTATGATCTATAATGCGATATATGTTTTTAATAACTAATAACATTCATTTAAAAACCATTCACTAAAATTCAAGAGAAATTAAGTATAGGCTTCCTTCGCAGATAAAATAAACGTACCACACTACCACGTACATATTATAATGAAATATAAAGATTGCTTACAGATAAATATCCGCGGATATCAAACTTAAAGAAAGTTTAAAAATACAAATAAATTTAACTATTTTTCGAATTAATAATATCATAGGCGTATCTAGAGGGTCTTGGGGGGGGGCTTAGCCTCCCAGTGCAAATATTAGCCCCCCCCCCAAGAATTATTTGTATTATTTTTGCTCATTTCGTCTAGTTAAATCTAAATTATTGTGCTTATTATACTGAACTCTCGACAATGAGACGTATCAATACATATAATATATTCGGTCAACTATGACTCAAGACCGTTTTTCCTCACTGGCAATACTAAATACTGAAAGAGATATTTCTAATAATATTGATCCTAATAATGTACCTATTAAAAAACTAAAAGACGTTTGGAATTATAGTTAGAAACAAATAAATGTCTTATTTTCATTTAATTTAGTGTTTTTTTTTTATTATTATTGTTGTTTTTGCAACCCCCTCCCCCCAATATATTTGATCACCCTACACCAATGAATAATATTAAATATTTCAGTAGTCAAATATATCAAAAATCCGATTTCATGTTTTATGTAACTCGAAGAACGAAGGTTGTGTCGCAAAATCATACTATATAAATATTTATTTAGTAAAAAATCTGTGCCGAATTTTTGTATTTGTTTTCCCCTTCCAGAAAAATTACAATTGTTCTGGCAATATAAATTATAATATAATGATTGAAGGTTAATATCCTTGCATATAGTTGCATACATTGGTTCTGATTAGTGCAAACAACAATTTTGTTGTTCTATTAGTTATGAATAATATTTATTCATAAGCAAACTTTAACTCTAACTCTTTTTAAACACCTAATCCTAGATGATGGATGTATACCCCCVCCCCCCCATGGAATTGTTTATTGATGATGTTTAATCCATGATTATAGCCTATATAAGTAATAAAATAATATAGTATTTAAAAAGCTCCCCCACCTTGATTGAACTTTTGTTAGCCTACTACTAAGTACTATATTATGTATCTACCTATATCGAAGATCGTAATGATTTATATTATAATATGTTTATAATTTACACGTACAAATAAAAGTAAAATAAAATAAACTTTTAAAATTTGAAATTTTGAAATACAAATAAATAATTTAAAAAAAAAATTTAAAATTTAAATGATTAAGCCTACCACTTAAATTTTTTTTGCGAATAATTATTTTAATACTACGATTACTGAGTTGAGCGGTTGAGCATAGGGATAGTAAGGCCCAGCGGCGTCTCTAGACCTGTCTATGGGGGAGGAGGGGGCAAATAATAAAACATATTAATATTAATATACATAGGATTCGGATATACAGTATATATATACATAAAACCATTTTTTTTCTTCAAAATTTGGAATTTAAAACTAGTCTCTTCTACAAAATATTTGTTTAACAGATATTTTACATTATTGAAAACAAATTATCATAGTCATAATAGTATACGCAAATTTATTTCAATAATTAATGGTTATTAAAACAATATCTAAACATCTTTTATTTTTAGCAAAGTGGTCTAGCGATTATGGTTATAAACTTGTTTATTCAATGAGAATTGTATAATTTAATATAATATTATATAACATTATTATTATTACTCTGAGATTATATTCTATAAACATTGTATGGGTCTATGACCGTGAATACGTATTTATGATAGCAAGATATGAAGTTTAATAAAATATTATGATTTTATGTAATAAAAAAAGTCAAATACTTTAATATAAATAATTGTAAAATTCACCAATAATTACTATGTAAGTAGATCTACCTTATAGATGGGAGGGGGGTACACCCCACAGAAATTTTATTCTGTGTACGTGCCTGGGGATAGAATACAAGTATATTGATTATTGTTTAATTTTAAATACCTAAATTATTTTATAGATACCAACCATCTATACCGATAAGAACTCTTATTAAAATAGCGGAGGAGTGGGCAAATAAATAATACTTGATGACACAAGTTCTTGTATCCACACACTCGCCAGCCAAAACCACATCGCCATAATTGGCGGGATCGATTCCGGTCTTCCCTTTAATAGTGAACACTGAACAGACCCTTGGATATAGTCATTATAAATGGCCGATATACTGTGTACTAGCTGTACAGTGTACTTTAAGCGGCGACAGCGGTGATGGTAGCAGTAGCGGTGGTGTCGCGCAACCTTGACCCATTACCGCCGCCGCACCCTTCTATGTTTGTAAGTACTTATATTGCACGTTGTTGTTGCATTATGTTGTCGGATATAAAAAACTGAAAATATAAAAGAAAACAAATCGAGAGACGTTCGCGATAAATGCAGACGTCTAATGTATAATAATTACATAATGTAATGACTAATATGATTGCAGCTTTATCGCCGTGGTTTCCGTATATGTATAAAATACAGAGACAGTTATACGTCAAGTATACTGTATAGTAATTATTATTATGTGGTGTTGTTTGGTAAGTTGTAACTTCTAAGTAGGTACTTGAATGTTAGGTAGGTAGATATATTGCATACCTTACAACATATTACCTATATGCAAACAAGTATGCAACATAGGTACCTATACTTAGATGGTTAGGTAAATAAAAAAGTAAAATTTTGCTTGAATAACTTAATACCTAATTACCTACAAAGATATTTTTAGATATCGTCATTTTGAACAATCATTTAACTTAGAACAAAGTTATGAACAAACGAGCAGTAAAACTAAAAGTAATATATCCATGTACCTCGTTTAACCGTTTGTTTAAAAACTAATTCAAGATAATAAAAGTATATGCAAGAAATTGATTCAGCATTCAGCATTCATATTCTTAACAACATTTAGACATTATTCTAATACATAGGTACTAAAACTAAATACTAAACAAGAAACAACGATATAATATAGTAATTAAAAATATTCTTTATAAATTACAATTATAAAAGATGATGTCCATATTAAAATCATGTTTTAATTTAATATAGCTGTTTTGGGATGCTGACTAGCTGATTGCAATAAGACTGAACAAACTATGAAATTGGTTGAGAAAAAATGAAATACAAATATTTTTAACATAATATACAATATTTTCACGGTATCCGACTTCATCCGATACATATTTAATGCCAAATTTTCAATCTATTTAGACCCGTTCTTACAATCTCCGGTTAAGTGTCGGTTAAGACTAACCGGTAGAATTCTATCGGTTAACTCATGATAAATTCTTCCGGTTAGTGTTATCAGGCACTAACCGAGCATTGTAAGAATGGCCCTTAATAAAATTAATTGGACTATTGGGGTATTATAGTTATAGGTAATATCGGTATGTATATATCATAACTTACATCAGTAATATAAGGCTCTTATAGATGAAAAGGCCTATAGGGTTTGGAACCTGGATCCGAAGAAAAAGTAAAGATATTGGTAACATTTTTTTGTATTTATTTATATATAAGTTGGTAATCTTTTCGCATGGAGACACGAAAATGTGAAATACTGTAGAATTTGCTGCTAATGAAATTTTTATAAACTGGGCAATGGTTACAACTTAAAAAGTGTTATTGTAATAAATTATCAATATTATACTTCCTAGTTATCTGTTTTATATTAGGTATGTAAGACATCCATAGACCTTATACTCAGTATAATATTATATTATAGGTAGGTACTATCAGGCCCGTCGCTAGGGTACAAGCAAGCCATGCGTTGCTTTAGGGCGGCATAACATTTTAAAAAATTGAGGCGGCAAATTGTAATATTAAATTTCCAAAAAAGGCAGAAATTTAATTATTATTTTTATTCGCTTTAGGACGGAAAATGTCTTACGACGTATGTCTTATGTCTTTACTATAGTATAAGGTCTGTGAATACATCGTATAAAGCCATAAAATAATCCACAACAGTTTACAACACCCGGGTCTTTAACTCTTTTTAAGCAACGCGCGGGCTCGCAATGACTTATTGTTAAATCTCGCAGCCGTATTCTCAATTAACTAATTAAATTGATAAATTATTAAAAAATACATGCTTAAGTTAAAATGTATTCGCGTGCCTCAAATAATGACAAGTCGAGTTGAAGACCCCCGGTTTACACTTTAATGTATGTATATAGACAAAGACAATATTTACGTAGTTGGTAAATGTTTTAAACGATACGGCGGCACGTAGCGCAAGAATAATTTGTTCAGTACCTACATATAGGCATATAGCACATTCCGACCGACATCGAATTATTTCACATAACGGGAAGAACAACAAACATACACAATTTCCATACACGGACCGCTGTCAACGCATGCGTACAAGACAAATAATATAACAACGATATCATGAAATATAGGTACCTATTATTATCTTATTCTGCAGGTCACGATTATGATGTATACAAGGTGTATTTAGAAGACTTTACAATTTATAGACAAATAATACTACAGTAATAACTAATTGCAAAAATATAAAACCTATGAATGAGTCTACTGACACACCATAAGTATAGTTCAGTAATACACAAAATAAACTATTGCCGTAGTTTATTTCATATACTTGAGGCAATTAACGATGCCGTACAATTGGGTTTAATAGGCATATGACATAACTATAGGTATAACGTATGATATAATGTACATAATATAATATCATATTGTGTTTATGACGAGGCGACAACATAATATTATTAATGCTTGGCGCTTGCACGTCGCGTAATACAATTACAAACACKAGAAAATAAAAAACGAATTATAAAAACAAAACGAATATACCTATACTAAACATCGCAATTATTAATTATTATTATTATGTTATATATCTGTACGTTTATGTTTATATATATATATATATACAAACAATATACATATATATTGTACGCTTAACCGCACATACTTGAATACACGATATGTTAACGCCGCAAAATTTTGACGCATCACAAAATTAGACCGTAAATCGTGTTACGCGTGCGGCGCACCTGTACAACCTGTTTGTTTCGAATGTTTCTATAATATTGCTTTATTAAGCATACAGCGAACATGGATAGGAAAATGCTTTCAACGATTTAAAAAAGTGCTGAAGCCACGTCGTTTGCTTTCACGTGGAACTCAAATTCAATACACATATTAATATCTATCATAATACTACATTGTGTATTTGTGTGCATCACCATTACGATGTATTAAATAGGTACTAGCATAAAAATAGACGAGGTTTTCGGCCGCATCAATTATTTAAAATCTACGAAATGTTTCTGTGCAAATATGTATTACCTACGACGACGAGGTTATCTGTAGATCCGCTGCGATCCGCCACTGCCGCCGAGTCGAGAAGAATGAGAAATCTGCACGAATGAGTACGATAGGTAGGTAGGTAATGAATACGGACCGCCGAAACGATTGAATATTCGTATACCTACTGTGTGCGAGAGATGTAAAAGTAAAACGTCTCCGTCCGGCCCGGTTTTGGTATAGCAAAACGCCACCTCGGTCGGTCGTCGCCCAATCGTACTGGCTAGTGGCTGGTGCCTCCCGCGCTAAGCTCATAAATCACGGGCGGCCGTCTGGCGCGTGCGCCGCCTCTGATCGGCGGTGGCGGCAGCGGCGGCGTACGGCGTAGGTGGTTTATCGCCATGCGCCGCGGACGCGCATCAATATTCCGCTGCCGCCGCCACTATCGTCGTCGTTCAATATTATCCCAGTATCCCACATTCCCATGACCGCCAGCCTGGGCACAGGTCCCAGGCGACTGGCGTAGAGCGAATAATATTACGGTAGAGCGTACTATGGTTGACACGGGACGGTGAGGCGGTAGGTATCGTCATTGTCCTTCTCCCCGCCGCAGACAACGGCGGGCATTCCCGCATCCGATGCCGTCAGCGATTTCGTTCAGATCTTACGATTATAAATCGCACGACCGTACAATAATAATCGCGTTAGCGTACGATAATAATCGCACTCGCATAAAATAGACAATGCTTTGTGAATGCGTGTTTCGACATTTCGGCAGCTGGTGGGCAGCTGCTGCAGTCTGCACTGYGATCAGCAACCTGGCATTTGCTACCTATAGTGGCTATAATAGATACTGATTTACTTGCATACGATTGTCGATTATTATTTACAACAATTATGAGCATCAAAATAAGATGCTAGCTACTAGAAAAATTGAAYGATTATATTATGTACTATAGGTAATAATAATAGTACGCATTACACATAGAACTAGTGGAACAACTGGAACATCAGCGTTACATGATGAACTAGTGAATATAAATAAGTTAAAATATTTTAACTTCACATTATTACACTAAGCTTGTTTAGAGAAAGTTCTTTTTTAAAGGGAAATCGTTCCGTTCCATTTAAATAAAGGTMTATTAAAGGATTAACATAATATGAATTCGTTCTAGATCCTTGTGTCTTTTTCAAGGAACAAGAAGGAACTCCCTGCACATTCAGTTTTAGTTTTAGAATACATACTTCTTCTCTATTTATACTTTTATAATGTAAGGCAAGGACAAAAACCAATTAATTAAACGTAATTCATCTAAAAATATMTATTTATGCATAGAAACAAAGAAAACTATATACTACAAAATTTACAATATATAATATGTTTTTAAAATTAAATTAAAGGAACTATGATTTTCGTTCGTTCTCTAGAATTAGTTCATATTTATTTTATTTATTCTTAAACAAAGTAGTTTTTACAAAAATTAATTTATCGTCAACTGCAGTCTAGGCCCCTAGACCCTAGACCCTAGTTTACAAATAAAATAAGAATATTGAACTGGCTTACCAATCAACATTAAATACACTAGACTTTTTTATTTAGTAAAAAACTTAATGATTGTTAGCAAAAAAAGGTAGTATAAACAATCCTTCACCCGTATAGACTATGGAGGTATGCATAGTAGGCAATTAGTAGCCCCAGGGGCTATAACGCCACCGCCACCATTAATGAGTAACGCCGTAGTGACTAGTGAGTAGTGAGTACGCCTTGGCCGGGAATCGACCACGGCCCACGAATAGTTTTCGACGTTTTCGAGTGTTCGGCCGTCACGTATCGCCGCATCGGTGAACGGAGCGTTAGTGGTAGATACTACGTCCAGACTTCTGCACGCACACGAGCGCTCTCACAAACACATTTTCATATGCCCAGTTTTGTAACGGACAACCGGTCGTACCATAGGAATCCATATTGTTATTTGTTTTGCCGCAGTGCTGCGGTTCGAGATTGTACGTAGTTACTAGTTTTGGTTTTCTATCTATCAAACACGTTTTTTTAATTGTTGTTTACTTGTTACTTTTTCGGTACTTTATCATGGTTAAAAGTATTGACGACATTTTTTTTATCTCTTCAACTTGACTGATTGAAACTTGTTCCAATCGCTTTTATTACTATTAAAGTATTTTTCATTGTAATTTTTCGGTCTCAATATAACGCGCGTCCAAACAAAATAGAACAGAATGGAAACACCGACAAAATCACTGCCATCACATCGCGACGTAGATGGAAATTACGATGCTACGACTTCTAGCCCGTTGAAAGGTACGTTCCGAACGCATATTATTTAGGACAACGTCCGTTTTTTGTCAACTCGGTTCACAGTATCCAGTCTTGCGAGCCAAAAGTCACATAATAATTATAAGCACATTGTCCCAGTAATTCATTATTTTTTTGTATACTAGGTAGTATATTTAAGTTACTCACAAATAATGTAAATAATACCCAGACATTTTCCCCGTATTCCAAACAATATACAAGTTTATATTCGCCTGACAGTGAGTACCTATCCGTCTTGACACACTAATTTATATTACCTACAACTAAGTATAAGCTTCTACTGTTAAATATCTATGTTTTTGCCATTTTCTAACTGACATCAGGCATATTATCATGGTCTGGCATAAACCTAGTTTATTGTACCTACTTTAATTTAACATAAACATGTCTCTTATTTTACTCTTTCTACTAGCCTTGCCCAGTCCTAGGACACCTGTCAGAGCCACATTCAATGATAGTGATGACGATGAATCAGATGAAATGGAAAGCCCAAAGTTTCCGCATCTTATCCCAATTTATAGGAGAACACCTGATGAATATGATTTAGGAGGCGTGCGTATTGGTTGGGATGATGGATATGGCAGTGTTTGTTATCAAGATGATGATTATGGTAAGAATAATATATAATATTTAACTAAAACAAACTAGTATTAACAATTTTCTTAAAATATACTATATTGGAACTTCATTAAATTTAGCGATACCATATTTTTATTAAGTTATTTTAATGTTCAAATTTTAATTTATAATATTAATTTTAATGTAATAATTATAGATTTTCAAACTATTTTATTAAATAAATAGTATCTTTATTACCTATTATTATTATTATTTTTATAGGAATCATACTAAATTTCTATTTAATTTCTGATTTGATGTTTATAGTTACTGAAAGGAGGTCAAAAAGGAGTAAAAAAAGTCGATTATTCTCTGAACGTCATCATCGATCTTTCTTTAGATCGAGCCATTATAGTTCATCAAACCCTGAATCACCTTCTCCAAGAAGTTGTGCAAGTGTAAATAATACTGCTATGCAGGAAGAGCTAAATAATTATCTTGAATGCATATTGAATTGTCTTAGTAAGTTCACTAACTTTTATATTTTGTTTGCATAAGTTTTTTTTTTTAAATTCTTAAAACTGCATTGTTGAATAATGAACAATATATTTTAAGAATTCTGTTTACATTGCATTACAGGTGCCAAAAAGAAAAATCGACAGTTAATGAAAGCCAAAATGGAAGCTAGTTCTTCTACRAACAGTTCATCAGAAAATAATAATGTTGGTTGCTTATTAGATGATTCTGCTGATGATGAGATGATGATGCTGTGTAGTCAAGCTATTGAACAAAAAATTGCTGCTGATGCTAATAATACTAATAATACAGTGAATGAAATGAAACCTACAAAACTAATTGTTACAAATTCTTTGTCAATTAATGGAATAAGCCCATTAAAAGATACCAACAATACTACAAATAATAATGTATATTTCCATGTTGCCAAAAAGTTCAAACCTGTACACAGCAAACTATTTGTTGAGGAACAGAAAAGCAATAATTGTAAATCACAATGTCACACATTAACTTCAAATATGATAAACAAATCTGAAAATGATAGCCTATCTTCAGCCATTACCACTGTTACTAATTCTAAGACAGATGATTTCTCTTCATCATTTTTAGATGACACATTAGCCAAAGAAGATGAGTTTTTTTTGGGAATTGATTTTTCAGAAATTGAGCAGCAAATTATGAAAGATGTTAAAGAAACTACTACTGTATCAGCAACTCAGAGTTGTTATGAACAGCCTAACACTAATGTTGGTGTACAATTCGGAAAAAAACCAGGTATTTGATTATTATATAATTAGTACAAATGTACGATCTAAATGTTTTTATTTAAGGTTTTGAATTGATTCATAAAGTCAATTGCAATTAATAAGAATGTTATTAAAAAACTCGATTGAAATATTTTTGTCAACTAGTTAGAATTAAATTTTAGTTGCCTAATTTCAAGCTAACTTACCTGGCTTAGCCCTGTTAAATTATATTAACGTGCTTTCGTGAGCAATTTAAAAYATATATTGTAAATCTCAATTAATTTTAATTTATACTATTTTTGATTACCTACCAAACATAAAATAAAAAATATAAATAATTAAAAAAATATCTTAACAGTCTCAATACATATTATTATATATAAAAATAAAATAATAACAAGCTTATTAAACTACTTATGTATATTTTATAATTTTATTCTTTGACAGCCAACAGTGCAAATATATAAATTAACAAATGACCAGCTCAATTTAAAATAAAAAAAAAAAAGATATATATATATAGCTAATTGGGTGAAAACTTGAATTTGTGGTAAGAATATGAGTAAATATAGTTGAAATATAAATTATGAAAGCTAAATAGTGTCCACAAGTTTCTAGTGTTAAATTTAAAGGTTTAGTAGCTCATATAGAACACATAATATATAGGTTAAATATAGGTAGTTAAATTAATTTTTTTTTAATATAAATAAATTGTTATATTTTATATAAGTTTTTTTTTCTAGCTTTTAATAATTGTGCTTCTACCAGTAGTTCAAATTCTAGTTCAGTACTTTGGCGTAGATCTACTTCGACATCGTCAATTGTTAACAAGCAGCAACAGTCAATACAACAACCTAAACAATTCAGCAATGTCGTTGAGACCATAAATAACTCTAGGTAATAAAATAATGTCTATTTGACTACAAAACATTTTTTTATTGTGTATTTTATGTATATTTTAGTGTTGGTGATTCAAAAGCTACATCCACAACTACTACTACTAGATATTGCACACCTGCTGAAATAGAAGCAAAACGAGAACGTGCTCGGCGTACACTTTTACTTAAGTTTAAATCAAAAAATAGAAGTGTTTCATAAATTGATATTAGCATTTGAAATGTACATTACTTCCCATTGAATATATAATATCTTTTTGTCTGTGAATTAATTTAGAACAGATAATGTTAATTTTTTTTTCTTGTGTTTTTATATCAGATGTAATATTAATTTTTTATTTATATCCTTGTATGTGTAAATTGAAATCAATTATTAAACATGTATTGTTATTAATATCTGGTTTATATAGATTAAAAATACTGTATAGATATTGATTTCTTTCATTATTCTCAAACATTGTACATACTTGTAACCGCTGAAAATTTATAATTGAAACCCAAAAGAAAAACAATTGTACAAGTTAAAACCACATGTTGACATTAGTTTTATTTTAATATAATAAGTTTTTAAAGAATATTTACTAAGTACATTATTTCGTTATTCAAAATAAAAATTTGTAAAAAGACAAATATGTTTTACTATTTGTGAATATACACAGTTCATTTTAATAAGTATGCTACCTGATTTAATGGGGGATAAATAATTTTGGCATTGATTCATCTATAACTGTAACTTGTTCAGTGTTATGGTTCATTCATAGATTACACAAATAGCATAAATTGATTGAAAACTTTTCTTGATCCATTAAATAATTTTGTTAATTTGAAATCCAATCATTTTTAGATCCAGATTGAACCTGCAAGAAATTTAATTTATAATGACTAAATTGTATTTATTGTATTTCATTTTAAGTTGAAAGTTAATAATCAGTTTTTTTATGACGATCCATTCTCTTTTGATTTTTAACTTCCACTGTTACTTTAATAACTATTTAAGTACTAATCTAGTTTGYGGTGCTTTTAAAATTTGAATTAGATATATAAAAATGTTGTGGCTTGTGATAATGTTGTACAGTTTATGACAGTGGTCATATTTGCAAAAATCTATGCAAGATAGAAACTAGAAGAATATTATGTTTCATTGTGCAGGTCGTATTGAAAATTATATTTAAGATTTAACTAACAAACCAGTTTCATTAAAAGGTCTTTCAGTATAATGCATAAAGAATTTATGAATAAAATCTAATATTGTTCATTGTTGACGAGTACACATTGTTCTAAATGTTATAAAACTTAACATTAAAATCCTTTCCTATTATTTCATTGGGTCATTTATTGTGTGCTGTTATAAATACATAATGTATAATAATTGATAGATAATATGTTATAGTTGTGATCATGTAACAGCAACAATTTTGTGAACATACACAATCAATTTGAAGTCAATCATCTTTGTAACATTTCAATTTCTAAGGCAATATGTGGAAAATAGATAGTCAACACAATCTGTCTTTAATTAAATATTTTACTAGCAATTTTAAGTTCTAAATATTCAAATATGTATTATTTGTATTATTATGAAAACTACATCAACAATATCAATGAAGATTATTGCTAAGAAAGTTCTGTTACATTTTAAAATGTATATTGGATTTTAGTTTAGGTAAGAGCTATTTTTCTTACTATAGCTTTTAGTCATTATTATTATTTACATATATTAACAGTACGTAACAGTGGTATTTGTTGTCTCCGTCTTACCAGTGCGTAATATAGGAAATTTACGCCCAGCAGAACACTTATAACACCTTTAGTTTAAATATTACAGTGAATCGACCTATTTTAAAACTTGATGGTAAGAACATTATCTGTGTTTGTACATTGGTTTTTTACGATAATTCAATTGTTAAGCGAGTTATGAGCATTTTTAATGTACTGTATATTATATGCTCATTACTCACTAAAAATTGAATTATCACTTTCATAAGAAGTCGATTCACAATTTTTAAACTAAAGGAGCTACAAATGTTCTGCTGAGCGTAAATTTCCTATATCACGCACTGGTAAGACGGAGACAACAAATACCACTGTTACGTACTCTTAATTTTGTATTTTATGAATGATAAATTATTTTCATCCAATGCGTTGCTTAGCTAAAGAATCAATCGCCTTCAGAATAATTAAGGCCTAACCATTTAACCTGATTAATTGATTCAATAGTTACTAATGAATTTTTACATTAAATTTTAATATTAAATATATAAATATAACAATTTAATAAATAATAATAAAATCTTTTTTWGTATAAATTAAAAAGTAATGAAAACAACAAAACAATGAAAAATATTTGTGCAGAATTTTTTTTTCATACAATACTTGATGGCTAGAAATAGATACAGATTACCTGTTTGGCAAAATACTTCTTTGATTACATTTCTAGTTTGCATTATTGTTGAGAGTTATCAACTGACATTATAAATTATGAACTAAATATATGAATATATATATGGGGAAATTTGAATTGGCTAATAGGTTAAACCAGCATATTACATCATTATTTTTAATTCCATTTATTTTTAAACTTTAAAGAACATATCAATAGATTTATAAAATTATAAATATCTTGCATACAAGTTACAGTTGAAAACGAATTTCACATAACATTCTAATTTATAGGTACAAAAAAATTTCTTTAACAATATAATTAATTGAAGTTGCAAATATCRAGTAAAAACTTAGATATTATACTATGTAATATTCAAATATATAATGTATCTGTATATTTTTATAATTTATAATTTTAATTTTTTCTGTTCAGTATGTGCATAATAGAATTATTTGTAGCAAAATTGTAATTTTATAATGTAGTATTGTAAATAAATTCATGAATACGGTAATGAATAACTTTGAAATAACATGGTAAAAAAATTAACTAAAAAATTCAATTTTATAAGTAGTGAGTTATAGATTTGACAAATATTAACAAAATATTTAAATACATTGAAAATATAAATGATTGTAATATAGATAAATATAAGATTATATATTMAGACTATTTCACTGAAAAATTACTACTTTTAATATAATTTATTGAAAATTAATAATATAATATAAAATAACCCAATTATTGAAATCAAATAATTTTAAATAAACTAAAGAAAAGTTATTAAATCATACCTAACACTTACATAAGTTGCTTAGTGATTTCTCATTGTTTATTTGTATAAGTTAAAAAAAAGGATAAATAATAATAAAATAAAAATAAATAGTAAAAAACACACCTTAAATAATAATATTTTTGAAACAATATAAAACATTAATAAGTTAACTATAAAATGTAGCTGAATAAAATTGTTTTTYTTGATATAATAATAAATATTAAGTAATAGTCTGATCAAAATTGTACGGTTATATGAAAATAGATCATTTATTTATTGTTAAAATGTGATAATAAATAATAAAAAATAATATTCAGCTACATAGTTAATTATTTCATAGTAAGTTTATTTTAACAAAATAATAATAATTAAATTCTAGGAACGCGTAAAACAATAAAAAATCTTCATATGCATGAATTGTATATTTCAAATAGTTGTGATTAATTAAAAAATAAAAGTGCAAAAAGTAAAAGGCTTTCATAAAATATGTAGTATAATTATTCATAATAAGTTTAGGTAATCCTAAAGTCCATCATAAATAATTAAATATATATATACAATATATTTAAATTGCTTAAATATGTATCTTATAGTATCATTGTACCATAGAACAGTATCAATAAAATAAGTAAATAAATTAGTATATAAATATAGATTCTAGATAGTAAATTTTCAGCTAGTCTTGGGGTTTCAAGTCTTCAATAAAGATATATTTTTTTTTTAATTATATATATTTTAATTAATATTAAATATATTATTTTACGTTTATAAACACTGATACTGTTAATATTATGATAGTAATTATAATTGCAATGCATAATATATTTACAGTAATAATTTTAATAATTATTATTATAATTCATATATTAATATTCTCGCTAATATGTATATAATATATATAATGTTCTTGATCAGACTTAACAACTATTATTTAGGACTATGATTCGTATTGCACAACAAAATTCCTATAGTATTTTTGTCCATTCTTAATTTATTCTTTTCTATTAAGTTACATGAATAAAATTCTCGGCATTGAAATTCAGTATCAATTATAATTATATAAAAATTTAACTGAAATAAATTGAAATTTTTATGGAACGGCATAATGATATTATATTTAAAATGATGAAATAATATCAGTATAAAAACAATTTGTATAACTATTTTAATTATTTAAAATCTGTAAATATTTGAGTGACTTGCACAGTTAAACATTCTAACTAAGGCTTATGTTTGTAGTAAGAAAAATAACATGTATAGTGCAGTAAGAAAAAAAAATATGATGTGCAAAATTTACATTATACATAAAAAACAACACAATATATGAATTTCTTGAATGTAAAATTGCAAACAACTTTAATACATTTATAMATTATTATAAATTATAAATATAAATAATTATACTTCAAAACCGAGAATTTCATGTCATTCAATAACGTAAAAAATGTTTCTTGCGAATAAATACATAATATATTCAATACATTTATAGTTTAATACACTATATATTTCAGTATTCTTAAACATACCTGATTTTAGTGGAGTATTGATTTTAAAATTAAATATTAAATATAATTAATAGATAGATAATMAATTTTCACAATAATAAACACTAAAGCCCACGTTACATTATATATGTTCAATAGTTTCAAAATGAAACATCTTAAATGTTATTTCGTTATTTCCATAATTGATCAATATTAATTGTAGTGTAAAAAAAAAAAATAATAATAATAATAAAAATGTTATAAACATAGTTAGAAAATATTTTATCTAGGATGTATCTATATATAATGTAATTTCTTATTGAATACTTGAATTATATCAAAACATAAATGATACATAAAAACTAATACATTTAATTTAGTTCTATAATAAACACCCAATAAAATCACAATATCTTGTACACACACACATATATATATAATAATAATAATAATAATAATAATAATAATAATATTAATATCAATAATATCAAATTTATAATTGCATATTCATAAAGATTTTAGTTATTAGAATAACTACTATCTAAATAGCTATTTGTTCAAACTTAAAATATTACTCATAAATTTCAATTGTTTATTTGATTACACAAACAATAATGTTATGAATTTACTAAAAAAACTTCCATGVTTATAACCAAGTATTGAAAGGGTTGAATTTAAAGTGCTTTTCAGCAATCATAATTGGCAGATTACCCACTAGAAATTTCTTTTGAAATTTAAGAAAAAAAAGAATAATATAAATTTTAACATCTTTATAGGCAAACAACATAAAAAAAATTGTGTAGTAATAAAAATTTAAAAAAAAAATGTATTTGATTAGAAAAGTTTGACACTAGAGAGCTAAATGGAAGAATGCATTATAGATTAGCACCAATTTGAGTAATATTGTAACATATTTTCAGTAACAACACTACCATTATCAGTTAATTTAGAGTAAATATTTTCTAACAGCGGTCCAAATGTTAAGAAAATAAATAAACTAATGACGTGTACATAAGTATTTATGAATAAAAACAATAGGTAAATAATAAAATTAAAATTAAAAAAATAAAACAAACAAAACAAAACAAAAACAAAAATAGAGAAAAAATAATTGTCAATAGAACCGCCGTTATAATTATAATTTAGAACAAGTTTAAGGAAATTCTACTTCCTAGTCAATAGTTTATTTAGGTATAGTGCTAGTTACCATTTAGATTGTTCACTTTAGATATTGAACCTGGTGCTGTAACAAAAGTGATATCTGGTTTATTTTGTTGAGATTGAGTAGTACTACTTGTTATAATATTTTCAATTTCTTCATTGTCTTCATCATCTTCATCAGAACCTTCTTCTCTATCACTTTCAGACAAAGCATCTACTCTAAATGTTGATTTGTCAGTAGCATTTATAGTAGCAGAGGCTACAGTAAGTGAATTATCTCCTTGTCTCATTGTTGACAAGTAGTTAGCCAATGTGGTTACAGTGACATTCAATATTTCCGCTGCTCGGAATAGAGTTAGTTCTTTTCTTTGTAATTTAGCCAAAACATCAGCTGGACCTTGTTCCAACCAAAAATCTCGAACTCTATAAAATATAATTCCAATTAAAGATTTTAAATAAAATACAAATGTTATTACTTTACCTATAAGGATGTTTTAAGCAACCATAAGCATCTCGATATCTACCGTAAAGGGTTCCATAAGACACTCCCATTAATTCTGCAGCAACTTTCATTTCTAGTTCTTTATTTTTTATTGCTTCCATAAGTCTTTTCGTAAAAGGTTCTTCCCAAAATTGTGGACGACGTCCACCTGATTCTAAATAGTCATTCATTTTCATTACATCAGAAAATTGACTTAAATCTATTAACACAGAAATAATTAATTATAAATATAAATATTGTAATAACACTTGTAATTATGAATTATACCCGGAACATGTGCTGGTTGTTCACTGAATCCTTGGCTAACATTAGTGACACTACTTGCTCTTTCTTCTTCAGAAGAAAAACTAGTTACATTTACTGTACCAGTCTAAAAAAAGTCATAAAGCTTAGAGTTGCTATTATATTTTGTATGCATTATAGTATATGTATTTATAAGTGATAAATAGAAAATGTTTATCAGATCCATATCCACACAAAAACAAAATAGTACTTTTTTATTTGAAATTTTTTAAATAAACCTTTACTTACTGTTGGTTTAGGAAGCTCTACATTGTCAGTATCAACAACATGTTGCATTTCTGGTTCCCAAATTGACTGGTCAGGTTCAGACTCATCTTCAACATCTGCTGTGTCCATCATTTCATCATTTTCCTAGAAATTATAATTATAATTATAAATTAAAAATCATCATTAAATAAGTATAACTTGATAACATTTACTTGTTGTTTATCAGTAAACTCTTTTTTTATATTAGCAGTAGTAGCAAGCGTTGAATCCAATTTTCTTTTCTTGCTAATATTTGACTCATCAGCAGTTACATTAAAACTTTGATTTTGCTGTTCTTGATCTGATCTCCACGATACTTCAGCCAAGCCTTTAATCTTAAGTTCTTCTGCAGTTTTTAACAAAGAAGAAAGCTCAGTCTAAAATACAAATAAATAATATAATTAATGACTAATATTTATAATTAAATGTAAGCCATAATACTTACATTTTCAACATTAATTTCTCCTTTGTACATAAAACTGACTAGAGCTTGAATATCAGAGAACTTAACATCTTTAAGAATAACTATAGCTTTATTCTCATCATGCTGTGATAATATAGTATCAAAGTAAGTACTACAAGCAGAAAGCATAACCTGAAAATACATATAAATATAATTTTTGTAGAAATTTTAACTGAAGCGTATGAAGTATATACCTTATGGGCTCTAAGGGTTTTTCCCTCACAAGCCAATGTAACATCACAATAACTCTCCCGTTCTAAAAGTTGCGAAAACATTGCTTGTAAATTTGAGTGATGATACTTCCACCGTAAACAGTATTGTTGGGGTGCTAATGAGTTCATATTGTCCTCAGTTGTGGGCCGCATTGATATATTAAAAAATGTCTGGTTTGGGAACAACCTGACAAAATCTTTCAATCTATCATAACCTTAGGAATACAAATGATAAAAACCTGAAAAATCAAATTTATATTGTGTTATAATAAGGTTAAGATTATATTCATTAAAATGAATCATTTAAAAATTAAATTTGTTCCTTAACAGTTCAAGTTTGTAATTTAAATTATTAGGTGCATATAAATGCATAGATTRTTTTTTCTTTGACCTACACACAGCAACATGGCACATTTTCCTTTTAGCCAAATCAATCTTGTAGTGTTATTAATTTTAACATCAAAGTGAATACTTTTGTCAAATTTAAAGATAAGTTGTTAAAAACATTAAATGTGTTTGCAGTTTGGAATTTGTTTTTATAATATTTCAGTTTGTTTCCAAGTTATGACTATATAAAATATTACAGATTAAAATTGCTAATTTTTAATTATTATCATAAATTATAATCAAATAAACACTTATAGTTAATGCACAAGTACCTTAAACAAATATAATTATTATACTATATTGTATAATAATAAAGTTATAAAAATACYTCTACAGGCAGTTCCATATTTATAGGAGTGATTAAAAGGAATTAATTCGGAGGTTCTCAACAAGGGTACCTCAAACTTGAATTAATGGTTCCTAAAAATCATTTCAAATATAAAGCAATCTTACATAATTTTCACAATTTAAAATGATTTTATGAAAGACATAGGTAGCGTGTGTATAATATGTTTGGTTGTTCAATCAGTTATATATTACATGGTTAAACCTAGCTAAAGAAAACCAACTTCCAGATTTTTAGAAAATACTTTAGGGTGCTGTGGGTCAAAAAAAGRCTGGGATACTCTAGAATAATCCCTTCTTCTTGATTTGAGTAAATACTTAATTTGAATATTTTAATTTATAATCAATTTTATTTATAGATTTGTTTCATCCCTTTTTGCAAAAGTGAAAACTAACTAGATTATTTTCTAAGTTTAAAGTTTATATACCTAAGATTTTTATTAAATAGACAATAGACAATTGACATTTTTTTTTTTACTGAAAGATAATATCTGAGTCCAAATATTATAGTGATAACAAATATACTTGAGCATTCCTTAGAATATTGATAGCTTAATGGTCATAATTATTTATTGGAATTAAATAATACGACACAATGATAGATTTTAACTTATATAGATTACAAATTAATACCTAAATAAAAATGAGCATCAAACTTTTCAATACATATACTACCTCATACACAATTATTATAAAGTGAAATGTTTAAACAACAAAGTAAGTTTCTGATAAAATGTCTAAAATCAAGTCTGATCAATATGTTAATTAATTTAAATACAGGATTTATGTGACTAAAATAATTAAATACATATTATTATCAAGAGAAGAAAAAGTGCTAGGTGCTAGAAGAAAAAATGAAAAATGCTAGATTTCTGATTCACCAGATAACTTAGCATGTATTTATGATATCTTTATCACAATTCCAAACATTTAAGTTAGAACAAAATATGTAAATAATCAAATAAATTCAAGAGTTATTGTATTGTTATTTGGTATGCTAGTCTATAATTTCCCATTCATTTACATTTAATTAAAGAATTGAGTTCAGTAATTTAAGTTTTTTTTATTTTATCACAGTAGAGATCATACTTATATTAAAGTGATTAAAATTTYATCAAAATTTGTAATTTATAAAAGTGAAAAATAGTATACTTTATTGTTTCTGTTTTGATTTTGATTTTTTTATTACAGCATATAAGATATTGACCAAATATTTCAATATCATTTTTTTGGCTTGGCCCGATGTACATTAGTACGTATTTACAAATAGTATTAGTTTAGTAGAAGTGCGAAGGAACTAGGTAAAAAAATTACAAGAAAAATAAAATGAGGGTGTTGGCTAGATGTACTAATCAATTAATTGGAATATACTGACTGTAATTATGTTGTCAATTAAATCTGAACAGTTAACAATATTTAAATAACATCGTTTTAAATAATGAAACATATAAAAATTTGATAAAAAAATTCTAGGGTGAAAGAAGAAGATAGATGATAAAAAAG